AGTCTGCAAGTCTCTAAGTTGAAAGCTGTTAAAATTAGAAAAACAAAAAATAAATTATGTTAAAAGCATACTTTTCAGTTTTGTCCAAATGTAAAATTTTAAATTTATTATATATTTAAATTATATACTGATAGTATATTTGATGTATAAAGTATTATATAACTGGTTCCCCTGTATACAGCCATACCATATTTTGATCCAAGTAAAAGCCACTACTTGTTAGAAAAACTGATAGTAGACAACCTGGAGGCAATTCAAGTTATATTTAAAATTATTTTCCTCATATATCAATGCATAACAGTTTTGTACTTCAGTCAAAGTGGTCATTTATATTCCACCATAGACAAGGCTTGAGCAAGCCAGCTGCACTCACAGAAGCTTGATTTTGTAAACGGAACAGGAGGTATCCTGACAGAGGAGTCCTGCCACAGATTTTGGTCAATATCAAAGCAAAACACCTTTTTAAGAACTGTCTGTCCATTACGAAACAAATACTTCTCCGACTCCACAGCCCAGCAGTGGTAAATTAAAGACGCTGACAAGGGGAGTATTATGTGCACAGAACTGAGTAGAGAGAATTTACGTTGCCAAGTTGTCCACATGAAAGGAAAACCCATTTACCATGCAAAGAAAAAACACAGCTTTGGACAAGGCACAGCTACAAGCACTTTCTAGTAAATGGTAGAAGAATTATTATGCCTTAGATCTGCTTGTTTATTTAAATCATTAACTTACGTTTATAGGCTCCTGCAATCCCTGACTGCGTGAGACATCTCTGTAGCTCATCAGCATCTATTTGTCCATCCTTTCGATAATAGAACAGGTATCAGCTATTGTTTTAATTCCCGTTCCCCGTCTGGTTATTCCCAGAACCCACTCTCTTTCCAGTAGCATTAAATCAGTTACCCTTTCAAAAAGGAATCCAGATACATAACCTCTTCTCAAGACAGCTTTAAGACCGACAAATGTAAACTAAAAAATCTGGGGGTTTTTTGGAAACAGTCAGTTGCTATCAGAACAAACAAAAGCAGAAAGCAAAGAACTTCAAAAGAAAAACAAAACAAACCCAGAAAAGATACCTATCTGCACGGTTTGGAAAAAGGTGCACTTTCAACACATCCTGCTCAAGGCCAAATAGAGAAAACGACTGCCAATTCACAGAAAGCAATGATCTGCCAAAGGTGGAGCTGAAATTCTAGGTTTTATTCCTCCACACCCAACATGAAGTTGGGTTCACAGAGAGTTTAATTTAACCTCATCCAGGAATGGAACATTATATCTGTAGATATAAAAATGCCCCTTCTCTAAAGCATTAAATATTGAAAAGAGAATTGCTTTGTATTTGAAACAAATTTATTTGCTTCAGCATTTTCCCGATGCTTTTAAATCTGCTAAGTTTTCTTTTTTATTTTATTTTTATTTTTTTATAAGAACAGAAATATGCTACTAAATGGCATGGTGAGAACAGCACAGCCAGATAGCTTTCAGAAATGAAGTATCATTATTTATAAGACAAGTAGTAGTTACTATGTTAAACAATATTTGACAACATCTGAAAAAAGAGCAACAATGTTTTGATTCTATGTAAAGTAAATGGGAACCTAAACCCAAAATTGCTTCCAATCTATTCCATAGTCTAACAATACAGATGTATTTAACACTTTATGTTCATAGGGGAAAAAAAAAAGATATATAGCCAGGAATATTAAGTAGCAAATCTCTTCAAAGGCTTTATAGCTTCTGAAGCAAAGGTAGGATCTGCAGAACTTTAAAATAGAGGAAGACAGACAAGCATGATCTGTAATCAAGATTAACATTACCAAAAAGATCCTTGGCTTTTTTTTAAGTAGAACATAAGCAATTAAACTAGACAAGGCATATGGGCTTTGCAAATAGACTAAAAAAAAATAAAATTATTACTTCCTACAAAGACAAACTTGATTACATTGAATAAAGCTTTGAAACAATACTTTCGACTTTCTTCTGTAAAAGTAAACTAATAAATCAAAGACAAGATCTCTGTTGTAAACTACATCAAAGAAAGCTCAGAGATACCATTATATATTATATAGGCATAAAAACCAACACAGAGAGCAGCAAACCATAATCAAAACCTACTAATTCTACAGTAAGTACATATGGGAAACTGAGATGTGACTTTTTACAGAGTTGCACAGATGGCAGCTGATAATTTATCTGTTTTATTTCACTGTCTCCTTACAGGGTTTTTACTTCTGCACTGCCACTGGTCTCTAAAACTGACACCTCCAATTCCCTCAAGGATAACATTTCAAAAGCTACCCAGTTTATTTCAGTAAGGAATGATTTCTACAAATATAAAGTATTTCAGAGGACTAACTTCAGTATTCTAAAGTGCTAACTTGATCATACCCATCAACCCACTGGTTTCCTAGCTTTCAGTAACCAGGCTTCACTCGAGAAGACTAGGAACGGTCTACGTTTTGCTGATGTCCAGTTCCTGTCACCTCTTCTCCACAGCTCCACATCCTGTTTGCTGCTACCTCCTTTTCTCTTTACACTAGGAGCTTATTCACTCTTCCAAGTGTCAGTCACTGGCTCCACTGTTGACTCCTGGCACACATCCAGGTGGCACCTGCATGCAGAGGCATCTCAGCTGGCAGGCAATTTGTCAGCACATTCAGGAGAACTGAGCTTGGGCTCCACCTTCCCAGGGAGGCCTCACTACACACAGGCCATTCCAGTGTTCTCCTTTACTACAATAATGCTAAATATAGTCTAAATATTTTCATAAGCAGTTATAAAGAAGTAAGATATAGTCTGTGAGATACGTTATTAACTCAAAAGAGTTAACACAGAGAACAAAACTAGCCCAAATTACAGTGGGAATTTGAACATCAGTTGATATTGCTGAATTCAAACTGTCATGTTGTGGTTATGTCTACCTGTGGATAACAGACCCAGGAGCAGAATTTTAGATCCACACACATCCTACAAGTGTGCAATAAACAGTTATACATATGGCCAACAAAGACAGAACTTCAATAAACCTGACTTAATTGCTCCTAGACTTTGTAATATAGTTCAAGTAACATTTATCTTACTTATCTAGTAAGGTACATAACCATACAAAACCAATATATATGCCACAAAATTACAGGAAAGAAATTAAAAATGCATTTCAGAATGACAGGGAATAAAAAAAAAAGAAAGTTGTGAATGCTTTCCTCTAAAAGTATAATCATTCTATGCTACCAGTAAACCCAGATATTGGAATAACTCAGGACTGCTTTTCCATTTGCAAGTCTATTAAGATCATGTAATGACCTCTTTCCTATTAGCATTTCCTGCTCTTAGCCAGGCCATCTCCACAGCCCATGCTTTGCATTGTTTCTGGTTTCTTTGTCCTGAATCTGACAGCATTCACCAGCCCAGAGCTGAGCCAAGATTCAGTTACATTTCATGCATCTATATAGACCCTGTATATGCCTATATAGGAAATACTATCATACAAGCATATGTTCGTGTATATATGCATGTATTTACACACACAATATAAAAACTAACAGCATTCTTCAAGCTGCAGAGTTCCTGTGTGTATACAGCTATATTGTAGAGTGACACACCTATATATAGCAAATGGGCTAAGTAAAACAATTCTGGTTTTGTTTTTTTTTTTAATTTGAAATAGTAGTTTTTCTCAGTGCAAATATTGGGCATTCCTCTTTCCAAAGGCTAATGTAGAAAGTATTCCCCAGAAAAAAAAATCAAGAAGCAAATAACATTTTAGAAGTTTACCTGCCCTCCTACTGCAGCAAAATAACCATACAAAGGATCTTGAGCTTGTCCAGGGAATGCTGGTCCTCCTGGAGCTCCTCCATACTGTAGTAATCAAGAAGAAAAGTAATTTTAAATCAATGATTCAGTTAAGAATCTGTACTTATCAACTTACGTTTTTATAGACACACCATGCTAAAAAAAAAAAAAATAAAAAAAGAAATTCCTTATGAAAAAAATCACAAACCTCAATTTTAGTATTGATATACTAATTTGTTGTAATGTAAGCAGATCAGTGTAAAATATTGCACCGGAGCAATCCACTGATCTAGATACAGTCTAGTGAATCTCAACAAGGTTTAATTTTAGTGTACCATTAGCAGAAATTGGGGTGCTAACGAAAGACTAAGGCACTGCAGATTTTTCTCTCCACTTCAGAAAAGCTGAGCAAGACAGATCTCTAGGGAAAATACTTGGAAGAATATGCATTAAGTGTGAAAACCTTCAACTAAAATTGACCGTTAACTGAAAATCACGGAATGACATCCCCGACACTGACTTTCGTCCCTCGGCAGCAGGTGCCGGGCGTGTCCCTCCTCTTCTCCCTTCCCATTCCCGAGGGCACAGCCCCGAGCTGGCTCCTGCGGCACCTCCCGGTGGGAGCGGCGGCCGGAGGCCGGGCAGACCCTGCCTCACACGGCTCTCACCCCTTCCCCTTGGGCTGCACAGCCACATCCACATCCCCCCATGGGCCGGACAATCACATCCCCCCTTGAGCCGGAGAGCCACATCCCCCTTGGGCCGGACAATCACATCCCCCCTTGAGCCGGAGAGCCACATCCCCCTTGGGCCGGACAGCCACATCCCCCCCTCAGGCCGGACAGGCACATCGCCCTTGGGCCGGACAGTCCCCGCTCACCCCGCCCTGGTAGAAGCCGCCGCCGGGCGCGGGCTGCCCGGGGAACGCCATCTTCGCCTGGCACCGGCCCCGGCCCTGCCCCGGCCACGGCTCCGGCCGCGCCCGGCCGCAACCACCCGTCCAGACAGGGGGGCACAGCGGCGGGCCGCGGGCTCCGGGAAGGGCCGGAGCTGGAAGCTGCCGCCCCTGCGGGAAAAACGGCGGCCTTCTGTCACCGGGGAGGTGCCATCGGGAGCCGAGGGACCACGTCGTCCAACCCTCCCTCCTCTAACCTTCCCCCCTCCATGGTGGTGGTACAGGCCGCCCGCCCCGAGGCATTTCCTGCCCGCAGTGCCTGCGGGGCGCGGCGCTGCCTCGGGCCCGCCCGTACGGGGAGGAGGAGTGGCCCCTTCCCGGCGGAGTGGGATGTGGGTCCCTGGGGACGGGCGGGCCCGTCGGGGCGGTATGCAGGCGGGGAGTGCTCAGGGCGCTGCAGCTGCCGGTGAAGGGTAGCGGGTTCAGGCCGCCTGCGGCTCCCGGCCATCAGGGGACGGACACCCGTGGGAGGCCACGCCTGTGGACACCACTGCTCCGCTGAGGAGGAGGAGGGGGCTGCGGCCGCGGGCAGCGGAGGTGAGGCCGGTCCCTGGCACACCGCGGGGGCAGCGGTGCTCTGTGTCGGCTGCTGCCCGCTAAGGCACCAGGGAAGCTCTGAACAGGCTCACTGGTGAATCGGCTGAGTTGATGTCAGATTAAAGTCACCCAGTCGTGATTTACCAAAAGGCCGCAAAGCTCAAACTCTGTAGTTCGTGAATGTATATCACGTGTATCACAGAACGCATCCTTACATGTTCTCTTTTAGTACCGCAGCTTTCTCTTCAAAGTCTGAGCACCTGTCCCTGTTGCCCAAGACACATAACAGGCTGTACGATTTCTCTTGGGTCTGTAGGTCCAAATTCAGCAGGAACTGGGGGAATGCCGGTGTGCCACTGGAGCTAGGGAGCCCTTTTGTGTTCAGGCAGGGGCCACTCTGAAGGAGTGAAGCTGAAGGAAGCTGAAGCTGAAGGAGGCCCAGCTTTGATCCAACATCCTCCTCCCGCCTGGAGGAACCGGTACAGCCCGTGGTTTGATCCCACTGACCACTCCGTATTCTGGGGAGCAACATCAGCTGAAATGACCTCAGCTTGGTCTGAGCTGGACTGCATATTTGCAAAACATTAGAACTCCCTCATGGTGAGAGGTATTTATTTCTGTCTCAAAAGGATGAGAAATGATTTTCTAGAGTCTGTATGACTGAAACAAATCTACTGATAGAGACCTGTAAGGGTAAATGGTCTACTGTCAGAATTTTGGACACATAACATTTTATTTTCTGTTTATTAACATAATTTCTGAAGAAATTTGTAAACTTGAGTAGGACCTTATTAATTAGAGCATGCTAATTTATAGTAAACTTTTTATTAAAAGTGAGTCACCCTTCTCATCTTCTAAGTGATCCAGTAAACAAGGCTTCCAGATAATATCTATATGGCATATATTTATTTCAGCACCAACTATACTTATAACTGTTAACAGTTGCCAGTGACATGAAAACAAGTACTGTGGTGTTCTGTGAAATTTAATAATCAGTAGAGCTGCCAAATGAAAGAGACAAAGCATTATTTAATACCTTCATCACACAGGATAGCATATATGAAACCCATCTTTTCAGGGCAGCTGAGAAACAAAGTCAAGAACCTGGCTAACTTTTTGGCTTAAGAAATACATATCTCACAAGAGTATTTGACTAAGCGTCTGTTGATATCAAACTGTGTGGTGGTCAAATAGTTTTATTCACCAGCCTTAGTCACGTGTAGTGCAGGTTATTGGAGACCCTGGGCTGAACTTTGTTAGAGTACATATATTAATGTCTGGGCAAGAAGCCTTCTTAATTAAAATAGGACCTAGGAACAGTGATAAAAAATATTAAAGGGTGGAAAGATTGAAAATAAGTGGCAAAGAATATAAGTGATAAGATTTGAAGAGTTATACACTGATAAGCAAAACATCAAAAAAGTATATATATATTGCCAGAAGCTTAATAGAAATTAATTTTTAACTGCTTCAGTGAGAAAAAGACAGATAAGATTCAGACCAACTGGTAGATAAAGATACTAAACTATACAACGGTAGTTGTATAGAAAAGGAAAATGTGTTTCTTAATTTGGGGTGGGGTTTTTTCTTGCTTTAACTCAGCATAAATACCTGGTACTTCTCCATTTGCAGTTCTTCTACTGAGACTCCTGGTAATCATAGAATCATAGAATTGTTTAGGTTGGAAAAGATCTCTAGGAACATTGAGTCCAACTGTTAACCCAGTATGGCCAAGCCCACCACTAAACCATGTCCCTCAGTGCCACTTCTACATGTCTTTTAAATACTCCCAGGGATGGTCACTCAACCGCTTTCATGGGCAACCTGGTCCAATGCTCGACAACGCTTTCAGGGAAGATATTTTTCCTAATATCCAATTAACTGAAACCTCCCCTGACACAACCCGAGATCATTTCCTCTCATTCTATCCTGTGTTACTTGCTAGAAGAAACTGACTCCTACCTCACTCCAACCTCCTTTCAGGTAGTTGAGGGATGACAACCCCCTCAGCCTCCTTTTCTTTGGGCTAAACACTCTGAGCTCCCTCAGCCTCTCCTTGTGCTCCAGACCCTTCACCAACTTTGTTGCCCTTCTCTGGACACGTTCCAGCACCTCAATGTCTTTTTTGTAGTGGGGAGCCCAAATGCACTGCACTCAGTAGTTGGCATTTGCAGCATTATTTGTATTTAAACATACATGAGCAAAAGAGCTAGGAGACAGATGTAACCAAGGGATGTATTTTATATGGATTATTGGGTAGGCATTTTGTTTGCACTGGTGCATTTGTTTATTCCTTATCTAAGAAAAAAGAAGGCTACAAAGGAAGGGTGTTTGAGGAGATTAATGAGTACACACCTGCTTTCTGAAGGGCTGCTGAGCTGTGTTAACATTTTAAGTTATGATAAGATCATTGTATTGGAAATACACCAGTAAGAATCTGTGTAGAATAAATAGCTTGATTTTGTGGATCTCGAAGAACGTGTAATCCCTCTAGTGGGAAAATTGAAGTAAAGCTAGTACTATTGTCCTATGGTTTTTTGGTTTTTGGTTTTTTTGGGGTTTGATTTTTGTTTTGGTTTGGTTTTTTTGACATAATTCAGTATATTTTCCTAAGAAAAGACCTAAGTAAAATAATTTTGTTTAGAAAGTGAAAATTACATGCAGTTTCCATCCCATAGCTTTTGCTGGATTCTTTGTAATAGGATTTTAAGAAGAAATTCAAAATGGAGCTACAGTTAAACATTACTGCCTTAAACTCTGGTCACAAGTCACATTAATTGTATGTGCCACACTTCCTCACAGGGAACAAAGGCTATCATAAACCCACAACAAGTCACACACTTTCTGCTTGCCCGTCTTCTCTACTTCTGTCCCTCTGAGTCTGGGTCCATTTAACCCTGACATGAGCTCACACATTGTTCAGTCACCCTGAACTGAAAGCCTTGAGCTACATCATGCTGCCAGTTATGTTCCCATCTGGTGTAGTGGCTGGGAGTTGGTGCTGGCATTCTGAGGTGTCATGCTCTCCTGGCAAGCCAAGTGTGGAATTTGTCCTTTCCAGAACTGCAATAAAAGAAACTAGGGAGGAAATAGGGAATTAAAGTATAAAGTTCGAATGTCTTGATGTGTTTACTTAGCACAGCTGAGGGGATAAAGACTTCTGAGTAAGTATACTGCTTAAGGAAGGACAAGAAATAATCTCCTTAGCCTTTTAATTGCAATAACTTGAGAAGAGGCATAAATTTAAACAGTGTAAAAGTAAATATTCATGGCTGGGCTTCGTGAACGAAGATTTGGGAAGGGCTCTACTCACGTTTGTTACAAGTGCGTTGGTGGCTAAAAAGGCCAATACGAGATAGGCACATCCGGTTGCAAAAGGCACAGCAGAAAGACTCCTTAGGTGATAAATTCTGCAAGACACGATTCTTTCTGCGTTGTCTTTTCTCCTCAAGAGTGATCCTGCGTGCTTTCTCAAAAGCATCAGCAGCGTTATAGATGGTGTGTCTCCAGACCTCCTGATTGGAGGCCAGAGTAGACCAGTTATGGTGATCAATATGGCCAAGGCTGAGATGTTGTTTCAGGGAGTCCTTGTATCTTCTCTTCAAGGCTCCTCTCGTGTGGCAGCCGGTGGCAAGTTCACCATAAAGCAAGATCTTAGGGAGGCGGTGGTCCTTCATCCCGGAGACGTGCCCTGCCCAGCGCAGCTGTGTTCTCAGCAACATGGCCTCAATACTTGTAACTGCTGCTTGTTCTAGAACAGACGTATGAGTCACATAATCTGACCAGTGGATGTTTAGGATTGTATGGAGACAGCGTCGATGGAAGCGTTCTAGGAGTCGCAGGTGGTGGCAGTAGATGACCCATGATTCAGATCTGTATAAGAGAGTAGACAACTCTATGGCTCTGTAAACACTGATTTTTGTACTTTTCTTCAAGTGTTTACTTTTCCAAACTCTTTTATGAAGCTTTCCGAAGGCACTATATGCCTTTGCTAACCTGTTGTCTATCTCTCTGTCAATCTTACCGTCCGAGGAGATGAGGCTACCTAGGTAATTAAATTGCTGGACTGATTTGAGCTCTGATTTGCCAATGGTAAGGTGGGGATGATGGAAGACTTCTTGAGGTGCCAGTTGATAGAGAACTTCTGTCTTCTTTAAGCTGACTTCCAGCCCAAAGATCTCAGCAGTGTCTGCAAAGCAGGATGTTAAACACTGCAGAGCTGCTTCTGTGTGGGCAACAAGGGCGGCGTCATCAGCATAAAGCAGCTCCCGGACAAGACGGTTTAAGGTCTTAGTGTGGGCCTTCAGTCGCCTTAGGTTGAAAAGGCTTCCATCAGTACGGTATCGAATGTAGATACTGTCCTGATCCTCGAGGTCTGCAGTGGCCCTTTGGAGCATCATGCTGAAAAAGATTGTGAATAGAGTTGGTGCAAGGACGCAGCCTTGTGTCACATCATTGGTTATTAGAAAGGGCTCAGAAAGTGCATTGCCATATCTGACTTGGCCATGCTGATCCTCATGACGTGAGATGATCATTTTAAGGAACTTGGGGGGACATTCTAAACGTTCCAAGATCTGCCATAGACCTTTTCTGCTCACAGTATCGAAAGCCTTGGTGAGGTCAACAAAGGTTACACAGAGATCTTTGTTCTGTTCCCTACACTTCTCTTGCAGTTGTCTGAGAACAAATACCATGTCTGTGGTACTCCTGTTGGTTCTGAAACCACACTGGCTTTCAGGTAGAATTCCTTCTACTATAGCGGGTATTAGTCTGTTCAAGAGTATTCTTGCCAGGATTTTGCCAGCAATGGAGAGCAGAGTAATACCACAGTAATTTGAGCAGTCTGATTTAACTCCTTTCTTCTTATACAAAGTGATGATGACTGCATCATGAAGGTCTGATGGGAGTTCGCCTAGTTCCCAACAGCGCACCACAAACTCATGAAATTTAGTATGGAGTGCATGGCCCCCATGTTTCCAGATTTCAGGTGGAATTCCATC